GCAGCTACTATCTTCTTCTGTGTTGTAAATGAATAACTTCGCATGCCGAACAATATTTCAAACCTATTTTTCCAACACCCAATAGATCGTTCAATGACATTTCTAAGACAAGCATGAGCATGGTTGAATACTTCTTGATAACCGATTGGTTGGCTTCCACGTCTAAAATCAGGAATGTGATACCTTTCTCCTTTATAAGGTGCCAAATATCCATTTATATTAGGATAACCAGCATCAACAAGATAATATTTACCTAAAATATAAGAGAAAAGTTATTGATAATAAATACGAAAAATTTTCTTAAAAATTCATTAAAAATTGTGCTTAAAAACTATAACACAAAATAAATATAAAATTATTACCATCAGGAGGATGAGGAAACACATCCTTATGATTTTCCAATGTATGGGTTAAAACATGTGCATCATGAGTAGATCCAGGCCACCCTATAACTATAAATGTAAATATCATGTCAAAATTACAAACTACCATCACATTTTGAGTGGGGATGCCTTTGCGACCTATAAATGGTATTAGGTCTTCTTCAGGGATTGTGGCTTTAACATGCGTACCATCAATTGCACCAATACATCCTTTAAAATGAGGCCAAAACCTACTATCTTGTCGAATCTTATTAGGAGTTTCGATAAAATTATAATCAGATGGTTTCACAATGTCACTTGAAAACCTCACCATTGCATCAAGAACCTCTTGAAATTTTCTACTTACTGTTTCTCCGAAATGTTTAAAACAATTTTGCACATTTCGATTAGATTGATTATGTGCACATGTCCAAAGAAACATTGCAAGTGATTCTTCTGCACATATTTCTCTTGTTGATGTTAGCCCATAATTACTAACTAACAAAGAACATAATCCCGTAAAAACATGTGGTTCCATTCTAAATAATTTACAACTTTCACCTGGAGTTGCCAATGTCTCTTGCACCCATTGCCAACCTGAAAGTCTTGAAACTCTTCTTTTTTGTTTGTTAAGATATTTTGAAATATAATTTGAAGATATTGAAGCACCTAAGTGAACAAGAGAATAAAAGATATTATCTCTTTTTCGTCTACCTTCCACCTGCTTATCTCTTTGTTCTATAGCTTGTTCCTCCATCTCATCCTCATCACTATTTTCTTCCTCCACCTCAAACTCATTACTATTTTCATAATTCCACCTTGGATCTAAATCCATCTACCAAGAAAAAGAAAAACATTAGGATCCACATATGAACACAATAAACCAATCTAATTATTTTTACAACAAAATTAAAAATGTAAAAAAGAAAAAAAGAAAAAAAGAAAAGATAACATACCTTTTTATCTTTCTCTTAAGTTGAACAATAAATGAACTCAACTCTTGAAGTTTTTGACGTAAATTGAATTTGGGAGAAGTGCATGAGGGTGTTGTAATTTAAATAGGGGGTTGTGTTTTTATTTATGTTTAGATTTTTTTCCATGTGATTGA